CAGGTGTCGAATATGTTGATTTTTTTTTTTTTTTTGACCTTTTCTCGATTCGTGCGTATCATCCTTGCGCAGAGGTGGTGCTAATCTTCTCTGCATCGTTCCCATCCTTCCGTTTCGTCTCCTCCTCCAGGTCGTCCTCCTCCCCTCCTCCTCCTCCTCCTCTCCTCCCGCTCGTCCTACTCCTCCCCTTCCTCATCCTCCATCTCTCCTCCTCGTCCTCCGTTTTCCTCCTCCTCCTCCTCCTCCTCTTCTCCCACAGGTGTCGAATATGTCGAGTTTTTTTTTTTTTTTTGACCTTTTCTCGATTTGTGCGTATCATCCTTGCGCAGAGGTGGTGCTAATCTTCTCTGCATCGTTCCCATCCCTCCATTTCGTCTCCTCCTCCAGGTCGTCCTCCTCCCCTCCTCCTCCTCCTCCTCTCCTCCCGCTCGTCCTACTCCTCCCTTCCTCATCCTCCATCTCTCCTCCTCGTCCTCCGTTCTCCTCCTCCTCCTCCTCCTCCTCTTCTCCCACAGGTGTCGAATATGTCGAGTTTTTTTTTTTTTTTGACCTTTTCTCGATTTGTGTGTATCATCCTTGCGCAAAGGTCGTGCTAATCTTCTCTGTATTCTTCCCATTCCTCCGTTTCGTCTCCTCCTCCTCCTCCTCCTCCTCCTCCTCTCCTCCCGCTTGTCCTACTCCTCCCCTTCCTCATCCTCCATCTCTCCTCCTCGTCCTCCGTTCTCATCGTCCTCCTCCTCCTCCTCCTCCTCCTCCTCCTCCTCCTCTCCCATAGGTGTCGAATATGTCGAGGTTTTTTTTTTTTTGACCTGTTCTCGATTTGTTCGTATCATCCTTGCGCAGAGGTCGTGCTAATCTTCTCTGTGTCGTTCCCATTGCGCTGCGGGCCAGGGAGACGGGGGCATGGGTGGATGGCAGGGAAGAAGGTGGAAGCAGGAGGTAGCATCGGCGGGCACGTCCTGGCGAGGGGGACGGTGCCGGGAAGCGTACCGTGTTCGGCTTCATTGTCGTCATCCTCTGATGATGATGACGGTGATGATGATCGTGATGGTGATGATGATCGTGATGGTGATGATGATGGTGATGGTGATGGTGATGACAGGGAACAGGACGGAGGTTCTGAATCTTCTGATGATGAGGACGAGGTAACACCTCTCAGACCCCTCAGACCCCCCTTAAAAGTTGTGCAGGTAACACCTCTCGGACCCCTCAGACCCCCCTTAAACCACCAGTACCTCCGCCAGTGTTAAGAAATTACGATGTCTTGGCCAGTACCCAAACTTTTCGGGGTGGGACACAGGGTCGGCACTGTTCCATAAATCTGAATTTTATAGTAACGGAAAAAGGGAAAAAAAAAATACTTTCTCTACTACAATGATGTCGGGCTGGGTAGTCCACAAGGCCGTGCTCACAATATTCCTCCACAGAATGCACCTTACAAGTAAGGTGGTCACATTCTGAATGTTACTGTTTTCTTTTTTTTGTTGGTCGTCTGTTTCTTATGAGTCCCTTGTCCGTGAATTGCTCAAGCTGTCCATGATCTGCTCAAGCTGTGTTTTGTCAGAGGATTGTAAGGCTCATTACACTGGCACTTAGGAGAATGTATCCAGCCATGTTCACGGCCGGATCCATGTTCCCGTTTTTTTCCCCTTTTATTCTTTTTTTGGAATCTGACAACCTGGCCACGGGGCTGAGATGCCCTCATTGAGGGCACACTCACACTACCACTTCCAAGAATGTATACAACTGCAATCACGGCCAAACTTGAAGCTTTGTTTCCTTTTTTTTTTAATTCGTTTATGAGGTTCACGGCCACAACTTTTCTTCTTCTTTTTTGTTTTTTTTTGTTCTTTCCGTGAGAGTACCAGAAAGAAAACGAAGTGGTACCCAGGCTCGGAAAAACTTGGAGCGCAGTGAAATTCAGGGTCGGCAAAAACAGGCTCGGAGGTACTGGTGGTTTAAAAAAACAAACAAAAAAAAAATTCCGCACGGCCACCCCCCGCACGGATCTCCGCACGGATCCGGTCTGTGCGGTGCGGAATGTGCGGAGATCGAGCACCCCCCGTACGGATCTCCGCACGGATCCGGTCTGTGCGGGTGCGGCTCGTGCGGTTTCAAGTATGCGTCAGACTGATCAACACCAGGTAATTCAGAGACATTTAGTTCATCTGATTCCATCAGGACTCCCAGTTGGGCGTGCTCATCCATCGTTCATGGGTGTACCCATTCATTCAGCCGCATGGGCTGGATATTCCAGAGTCCAAGCTGACAGTGGCAATGCTCGAATTACGGATGTGATAAATCGGACATTGTTGTCGGCCGTTTTCCTTTTCTTCTTTTTCTTTTTTCATTCCCTCTTTTCCCCTCCTACTTAAAAAAATTGGACCATTTCTTGATTTATGCATGTCATCCTTGCGCAGGGGCCATGCTAATCTTCTCTATCTGTATTCATTCCAAAAAAAAAAAAACGAATGTGCGGAAAAACTTTCCCTTCCTCTTTTTTTTTTCGTTTTTCTTTTTACTAAAGCTTACCTAACCACACACAAGAAAAAAAAAAAAAATTACCTAACTGACAAAATAACAAGATCAAGGAAAAACTCCGAACAAGGCGTCTTTTTTGTGGAATTGTGTGCCCTTGCTTACCGAATCTTTGCATGCAGGGCAGGTAAATCCAGCAGGCGCGGTGTACGGTGGGAATATCTCCAAATGCTTCTGCAAACACTTATCGTGCAGCACATCTGCACACAGGTTTCATTCATCCAAAAGGATTGCGCACACATTTCAATTTAACAACCACCGTAATGAAATTCAGAAAACAGTTCAATTGAATAGACTTCAAGGGGGCAAATGAAAGGCAATATAGTACAGAGACAGAGGCACTCAAATAAAACCGCAGCACATCCCTTAGAGCGTGGCATTTGCAAACAGATCCACACGAGCACGATGCACTGGGTCCACTCAGGAACAAACATGTCTGTGGGAAAATGAATACCCTGTGCAATCACCTTCGGTAACCAACGTTCGTGGAACAAGGGCAAGAAATGTTTGTCCCTGCATCAGAACCAGCCCACACGAGCGTGATGCACCGAGTCCGCTCAGGGACAAACATGTCTTTGTGCTCACAATGGCAGAGTTGGTTAGCACTTGTGGGCAGCTCGCTTTCAACAAGGGTCAAAAGGGTTCATGACCCAAAGCATCTAAATGGAGATTCAGATTCCACAGATTTGTCGAGAGCTCAGCCTCCCGACGATTTGTGCAAGTTCGGCGAAACAATCTTATCTATCATCAATCATCAGTTTTACTTTTTCTGCTCTAGTTGTCTAAGGGTACTTGCCCGTTTCTTTCGTTTGTTCTTTTCGCTTATGTGCGGTTTGCATGTTTGTGGTTCTTATGCACTGCAAGGCCGGGTCACTGCATGCTTCCGCTACTTGGCTTGTTTCGTGCTGGGAGAAGGATCCGGTTTCGGCTTCATGACTGTGCACGTTTCAATGCATCATGTCGCGAGGCTATCGCGGGGGATTTATAAACCCAAACACACACAGGTTGTACATATGATAATAGGACCAGCAACACTGTACTTACGCAAACAGCTCAGTCGTGTGACATTGGGCTTCGACTGCTCATCCAATATCTCCTCGCACACTGGACATCGTGGAGGCCAATCATAGTCGCCATCGACCACCCATTCCGAGTAGGTTCGAACCTGGGGGCAGAGAAAATGTCAGGGCAACACTTAAATAAATCACTCAATTTACTTACAAAAAAAGAAAACGCACAAGGGCCCCGACACATGGACCCCCATCGTGATTGAAAAAAAAAGACAATTGCCCAAAACAAAAGTTCAGTTATATTTTAGAAATAAAACAATTCATTTTGGGAAAACAAAAGAAATAAGAATATAAAAACGCACAAAAGCCCCACAACATAGGCCTCTGTCCCTATAGAACTCGCATCGTCACTATTTCAAAAAAAAAAAAAAAAAAAAAAAAAACCAGCATTGCACAACGCTCATCAAAAGATGTACCTCGATTCTGGAAGCAGACAAAACGTCAGGGACATTTAAATAAATACTAGATGACCTGATGCAGCTCCACCCGCAATCAGAAGCATCAGGAGCATCAGAAAGCAGGGATAACACGGGTGGAGTGAGGGTAAATCCTTCCCGTAAAGGAAGTCATCAAAGCTGCAGTCTCAGGGTCCCTCCACCATAATGGGGCGAGGGAAGAGTCAAATCAGTAACGATTGCAGCAAAGAATTGACTTTCAACGTAACACTTCGTTGATGGGTAAGGTAGAACGAATCAAATATGATCCAAATTGTTCCTCTTGGATTGCCCTAGTACGCTGGTACTTTGGATCTACCCAACCCCAACATCAGATCGATGTAAGGGACGCTGATGTGCGACAACACCTGTTTATGCTTTGACACAATAGTCATACCTAAACCCAGACCCGACCGCAGCCACATAGCCCCAGACCCAGCGCTAGACCCAGACTGATGACCCAGACCCCATCTCAGACCAAACCCCAGACTCCACCCCAAGAACACCCAGATACCAAACCAATGACAGCAGATCTGAACGCTATACCCACGCTCAGCCAAAGATCCAAGACGCAGGCCCACAGCACAACCCTAGACATCCACCAAGACCCCGATCCAGAACTCGACCTCAGACCCCTCCCCGGTCATGGCACATCCCCCCCTCTTTCCCCACCCTCTCCCACCCACCATTCCGCATGTGTGGGTACCTCCTAAGGATGAGGGAAGAGGAACAAAACGGGATCTCTCTCTCTCTCTCTCTCTCTGTTACATGCACAGATATGTGATGTTCGTAATAACCGAGGAACTGCAGTGTGATAAAAAGGACTGAAATGGACAATGCGGTGAGAGTAGAATCTCGACAGACAATGTGCATTCTCATACATACAAAAGTGCTGAATAGCGCAGGGAAGACTTAGATACMAAGACTGAYCTGACAAGGACTGACCTCACACACGTAGTACAAGTAGCGAAGCAGAATGCTAGAATACYAATCACGAGCCCAATCAATGTTTGAACTCAGACTAAACATGCATCGTATCCCTCACCAGGTGTGAAGGAGCCTGGCGCTGCACACAGGGAGAAAGCGCCAGGTCCAGACATACACAGACGAAGAGGTAAGGACCAGACGTAAGGAGGGGGGASAGATGGGAGTGTCGTTAACAYCAAGTCTTGGTCACCAATCCCAAATAACCCCTCGTTGCCATGTCTGAAGTCCCCAAAAGTCGAGTCTGGATCCGATATCACCAACCCCGGTATCTCTTCTCTCGCAGTCTGCAAATGCAGTGAAGTCAGGGGTTGAGAGGGAGAGGAGGAGATGGTGGACTGAGAAGAAGAGGAAGAAGAACCCTCTCTCTCTCACTGTTACGAACCAGGTACTAACCTGTGATGTGGCGCTGTGCTGCAGGTACCTCGAAG